AAAATAATTGGCTAGCTAAACTTCTATTTCCAGTTAGCCTTCAAAAACTATGGTGAAATAATGCTATTTATTTATTTAGTGGGCATTTTCTAGATAAAGAGAACAGAGTTTACTTGTAGACACCTACACTGAGAAACAGTCTTTAGATATATGTATCTCTGTATTAAAAAAAATGTGATCTCAGGTAAAAGCTGAAGATGTAGGAAGGTATGAAAAATACCAGAAAAGATCAATACACAGGAAAATCTCCTTAAATCCTGCTTGTAGAAGACCATGATCATGACCATGCCTTTGGGTGCCATTAAACATGTAGCATTAAAATTTATGACAGTAAAACCAAAATGCAAGACAAGAATAAATAGTATTCAAGTCTTCTAAGATTTGTTGTATTATCTAAAAAATGGTTTGAAAAATATAAATATATTTCTATTTCATATTACACATTTTATAATCCCTAGAGTAGTCATTAAAAGTTTTTTTTAAGTGTAACAAGCTAATAGAGGAGGAAATATACGATAATAGAAAATTTATCCAAAAGAAGACTTAATCCAAAAGAAAGGAGGAAGAGAAACAAAAGAGGAGAGAGAGAGAAGAGAGAGGACAAATAGGAAACAAATAGACTTAAAGACAAATATGAGTAATTATATTAAGAAAAATGTAAACCCACTGAAATACTCTTAATTAAATGACAAAAACTGTCAGACTAGATTTAAGAGAACACCTTAAGTATATGGTCATTACAAAAGCCTTTCTTTAAATAAACACACACACACACACACACACACACACACACACACGGTAAAAGGATGGAAAATGAGATACATACAATTTGCAACACTATATTAGATTTTTGTTTACTTTTCTTTTTCAATAACTTTGGTAAAATCCTTGCAACTCCTAACTATCAGTCCATTACTCTGCTGCTTCTTCCAAATGCTCATTCCCTGAAAGAGAAAATAYAATTCTAGAAGGCTGGGCTTAGGTTAGACCGTTGACCTTGAAAGGAGACAGCCTGAAAAAAACACCTCCTACCTCAAATTAAGGAAGACAGATCCTCTGGATGTGTTCATTTTAAAATGGTTCACAGGACACCATAGTTAATAATGGACCAGCTGTCCTGGACAGAGATAACTAAAAGCCACAACAGGGCTAATTCCTTGGGTGGAATATAACATAGGTGCTCTCAGRTTCAATGACAGAAAAAACATTAACCACTGAAAACAAAAACAGTCATTTTTACACACAAAGAGTCCACTGAATTCTTGGAGCAAAGTCCCCAATGTTCAGCAATATCACTAAACACAGGGAGTACAAAAACAGCATACTACAGGGACACAGCCACATCAATGTTTATAGCAGCACAATTCACAGTAGCTAAACTGTGGAACCAACCTAGATACCCTTCAGTAAATAAATGGATAAAAAAAAATGTGACACATATACACAATGGAATATTACTCAGCAATAAAAGAGAATAAAATCATGGCATTTGCAGGTAAATGGATGAAGCTGGAGAAGATAATGCTAAGTGAAGTTAGCCAATCCCCMAAAAAACAAATGCCTTATGTTTTCTCTGATATAAGGAGGCTGATTCATAGTGGGGTAGGRACRGGGAGCATGGGAGAAATAGACGAGCTTTAGATAGGGCAAAGGGTGGGAGGGGAAGGGCAGGGGCAGAGGGTTAGCAAGGATGGTGGAATGTGATGGACATCATTATCCAAAGTACGTATATGAAGACACGAATTGGTGTGACATACTTTATATACAACCAGAGATAAGAAACATTGTGCTGTATMTGTGTAACAAGAATTGTAATGTATTCTGCTGTCATTTATTTTTAAAAAAATCAATTAAATTATTTTTTAGTTCATATTAATCATTATGGAGGAAATTAAAAGACTAGGAATGGTGTTACCATGTGATCTAGCTATACCACTCCTTGGTATTTATTCTAAAGAATTAAAGACAGCCTACTAAAGTGACACATGCATACCTAAGTTTATAGCAGCACAATTCACTACAGCCCATCTATTCACCAGCCTAGGTATCCATCAGTGATTGATTGGTGCTATGGGTTTAGATGTGGTGTTCCCYAAAAGTTCATGGTAAGACAATGCAAGAAGTTCAGAGGAGAAATGATTAGGTTGTAAGAGTCTTAGTGAGTGAATTCATCCCCCCATAGGGATTAATTGGGCGGTAACTAAAGTGGTAGGGTGTGGCTGGAGGAGGTGGGAATCAGATGTGGGTTGGAGTATATATTTGTATCTATATAGTGCACTCACTCTCTCTGCTTTCTGATCACGGTGTGAGCTGCTTCCCTCCACCATACTCTTCTGCCATGATGATCTGCCKCACCTCAAGCCCCATAAAATTATAGAATATTCAGATAAATGGATGGAGTTGGAGAATATCATGCTAAGTGAATTAAGCCAATCCTCAAAAACCAAAGGCCAAATGTTCTCTCTGATATGAGGATGTTGATCCATAATGAGGATGAGGGGGGCATAGGAGGAATGGAGGAACTTTAGACASAGCAAAGGGGAGGGAAGAAAAAGGAGGGGGTATAGGGGTAGGAAAGTTGGTGGAATGAGATGGACACCATTATCCTAAGTACATGTATGAAGACACAAATCATGTGATTACTTTGTGTACAACCAGAGATATGAAAAATTGTGCTCTATATGTGTACTATGAATTGAAATGCATTCTGCTGTCATGTWTAACAAATKAGAATAAATAAWTTTTTTTAAAAAATGAAAAAAAAATTCATCTTAAGACGCAAAGACTAAATCTAAATTACCCCCCGCCTTCTGACTTAGCAAATTTCAAGAGATAAACTATGAATAGACAGTTTCATACTGTGCAATTAATAAGAACTGACAGCGAAAAATCCATGCCTATTGGTTATTAAAATTAGAGTAAGACCTGGATCCAGGGTGTTGCTAAACAGTGATGTACACTGTTATTAAAACATAGAACAAGAAGCTTAGTATTGCTGTCTCAAGAACCATCCCCAGATACAGGCTATAGCAGAAYCAACCATAAAGCTGCAGAATACTTGTATACCACTCTTTCTCAAAATGTAAATAACAAAATACAGATACTATTAAGATCTTTTTGTATTATAGGGGAGATAGAAGAAGGAAAGAATCAAGGTGAATAAGAGTTTGGCATTTGGGAAAAGGGTGCTTTGTTTTCTAATTCATTCTTCTTCATTTCCTATTATTTTTATGCTGTGAATTAATCTCTTTGATATATGGTCTCTTATTCTTTTGCTCTGGGCCCAGCAGGGGCTTGAGTCAATCAATCACATTATCTTTCTTGTAGGCATCATCAAAAAGATCTGCTGATGTAGTCTCAAGAATCTAAATCTTTTTTCAAGTCTGCTGTTGTCTTACCAGTCCTTCCCTTAAAATCAAGAATCTASGAAAGCACAATACAGCTTTGCCTTTGGACTCCCTTTATTCAAACTGCAAGCATTATATTTAATTGAAAGGTAAATCTCTCCTCTGCTTTTACCCAAAATCCAGTTACTTAAAGGCTAGTTTTAGGAGCAGGTCATAATTATTGAAATTGTTTCTCAGAAATTCATAAAACATTGGTGTGTGACTTCCAATGTTTATACTTGGTCTATTAGTAAATATTATTTTTCCTGAAATTCCACATTTTCAAAAAGTTAAAAATATACCAGGAGCTTTAAAGACCACCTTCAAAGTCAATTAGCTCCTATAAATTTTTATCCAAAYAGTTGCCTGGCTAAAAAAATCCCACCTGATGTGTGTTTATTTTAGCAGTGAAGGAATACTAACACTGTTGGTATAAATAGATAAAAGAAGGCTTTTTGGTCTTTTTAGGTATATAAAATTGAGTCCTTTGATATGCAAAATTTGGTGCAGAATGATAGTGAACTGAGTTGTGGGGGAAAAAAACCTCTCCCTAGCTCTGAAGTAAGGAGTCTGACCACTGGCATAAAACAGACAGATGGYCTTCTGAATCTCAAGTGGGTTTTATCAAGCCTTAGTGGTTAGCATTTTCTTTATTTTAGAAATATATTCCAGAAGTTTAATCGAAGTCTGTGAGAAATATGATCCAATACCCAATTCTGTACTAACTTCATGGCCTTTCAGGGCAACATAATTAAAGAAGGGCTAAGTCAAATGATTTGCAACATGTTTGGAATGGCCATTTGTAGAACAACTAAAATAAGCCAGACATTTTATGTTTTATTTCTAGTATTAATAAATCTTATAAAATAGATTTACAAATGCAAACAATGATAAAASAAACAAAAAAGTTGATATATCTTAACTTTAATCACCCACCTAGTCAGTGTCTTTTGATTGCAAAGCCAGGGCTCATTAGTACAAATAAATCACACTCCCAGATCCCCCAACCCTCAGTTTCCATCTGATCTGCAGGACTGAACAACCAGGAGGAGAACCGGTTGTGTTCCCACTGTTACTAGCACACCCTGCATCCTCAAGACTTAAGAACAAGCCTCCCTAAACAACACCACCACCACCAACAACAACACACACACACACACACACACACACACACCTCTGGAGGAAGGGAGAGGACAGGGAAAAGAGGTTTTCTTCTTGGGTGTGTTCAAAGTATGTGATGCAAAATGAGACTGTAGATTAGGTGATGGAGTAGATCTGACCAGCGCAGCTTGACGTGGAACCAATCCCAAAGACAATGATCATCAACTTGATTACCACCTTGGAATCACTGAGCTTTCAAAAGTATTGATTCAAAGTCTTCTTCTTAGAGATTCTGTCTGATTTGACTGACCTGCGGTGGGATCCAAGCATCAGAACTATTTAAAAAGTCCCTAGATGATACGTGGGTGACCATTGAGAGCCGTTGGCTGGGAGGCCAGGGTATGGGTGTGCTCCTAAACGCCTCACATCAGCTCTTTCCCCCTGTCACTTGTACCTAGCACGATGTGAGGAAAAGAGGAGTGAGTGGCAGAGAGACAACCAGGGCCACATTACCTGGGTGGTGTCCTCCATCAGCCCGCGAATCTTTTCCACGACATCGTTGCGACGGTGCTGGCGCAGGGCACTAATTAACTGGGCGAGGCTGGCCTCGGGGCCCCGGATGGTCCAGTGCTGCAGGGCCGCGTAGGCGCGCTCGTGGTCCGCTGTGTATCCGTTGGAGAAAGCGGCCACCTCCCTCTCGCTGGCATTGCACAGAAACTGATAGATATCCTTCCACTGGCTCCCCACTTGGGCTGCGACCAGCTTCAGGATGTCAATACCTACACCAGGGACAAAATAAAATTAAAAAAACAAATTCAGAACAGGCATGTATTATAAGGAGGAGGCTTTCCTGTGGCTCTGTGTCAAAGGAATTTGCCGCCTTCCCCAGGTACCTGGCAAACTCTGTCCAACTTGGGAACTAGGCTGATACCYTCACATGAAATTTCATATCCTGGGTTGGGGATGCAGCTCAGTGGTATCACACACAAGGCCCTGGGCTCAATCCCCAGTAACTCAGAAATAAATAAGCAAACCCAACCAGTGCATTGATTTTAAAACATTCATTTCTGGAATGTGAAACCAGAAGAAGGTTTGATCTTGTAAGTATAAAACATCAGCCCCAGAAGATGTTCTAAAAGCCAAACCCAGTTAARGTAATCAGAGTGAGTCCTTTGTTACTACTAAATACAACCTTAACCAAATAAATTAGAGATTCCACACTATAAAAGTGGTGACTTCATGAAATTCAGAAAAACTATAAGCTACAAATTAAGGCTACTACTACTAATGTGGACAGGTAGGGGACTACTGTGCTATTATTATTACCCAGCTTTGTTGAGACAAAGAATGTGCAGATTGGGGGAATGGTGTCCTTTAAGATAACAGTCAAAATGACATCATCATCACCATCATTATCTTCCAGGTATTAAGACAGGCATTAGTTCAACTGAACATGTTTATAAGGTATTAATATCCCAAATGTACAAGTAAGCAGAAAAAATACAGCAAGAAATGTTAGGCTATTGGACTAATATCACAAAATTAGGTGGATTGGGTACTTAACCCAACTCACAAGGTTGGTAATCTGAACTGCCATAGATGTAACTACTATTAAAAGTGTTAATACATGCTACCTTCCAAGAGGGAGCATATGCCTTTGAGCAAACTACCCAGGCTGGTTTTTGTTTGTTTCTGTTGTTATTGTTTTGCCAAGTATCTTCACCCCCTGCCCCCCGATATTTTAATATGTATTAGTCCTCCCTTATCCACAGAATACATTTCAAGTCTTCCAATGGATACCTGAAACCACAAACAATACAATACCTAATCTTATAGTTCAATGACTCTTTCATCTTTATTGGGCATTTAACATGCATTGTGGCTACACCTTTTACAGTTTGAGCCAAAAAAAAAAAAAAAAAACTAGCATTAAATTTCTTTTGTCTTCTTCACAATTTTACAGGTGAAAGATTCATTCTTATTGTCAATCTTAGCAAACCCAGCATTATGATTTTCTTTCTTTCCTTATTAAGCAGAGAAACTTCACCTTTTCGCTTGCTTGTGCCACTGATACAGGAGGATTGCGAGTTCAGAGTCAGGCTCAGCAATGGCAAGGCACTAAGCAACTCAGTGAGACCCTGTCTCTAAATAAAATACAAAATAGAGCTGGGGATGTGGCTCAGTGGTTGGATGCCCCTGAGTTCAATCCCAGGTATGCCCCCAACCAAAAAAAAAAAAAAAAAAAACTGGGCAAAAGAAAGCACTTAGGGCTTCTCTTGCTTCTGTGAATTGCCAGTATCACTATGAAAAGCAAAACTGTGGACAGGTAGGGGATTACTATGCTATTATTATTATGGATCATCATACTTGCAAACTCTTTAAGGGTCAGTCTGTGGTCCTCAAATCTGATGAATACAGAGTGAAATGCCAAAATCACATCTCCAGATCCCTAATGATAAGCACTTTGCCAGGACCTTCTATCAGGTGAGATTCTCCACAAGTAGCTTACTTTGGTGTCTCCTGCTTTATGGCATCTTTTCTCTACAATTACAAGTTGGCTTTGCCTGTCTTATACAGAGTATTCTCATATAAGGGGTCTGGTATTTACGTCAATAGGTGAGTGAGTCCTCCAAATCCATATCATGTCTTTGAATGTGGATATGTTCACATTCCTCAATACTAGAATTGTTATTATTAACAATGTCTTAAAAATGTTCATCACCTAGTAAAAAAAAARGGGGGGTGGTCAAGTTTCAAGTGAAGTTTAGGAAGAGAAAACAAATAGGTGCTTATTACCATTATGATTAATTGGATTTTTCAATTAACAAGCAGGTAGGAGGGAATATTTTTTGCTCCCAACACTTGTTGAGGAAAATATTTCTAAAATGAGCTATCAATTTTTGGAGAAAATAACAATTAATAATTACAGAAAATTTTCTGAAAGTGGAGGATTTGCTGTTTCCTCCATATAAGTCCTATTTAGTTCAATCCCAGGTATCCTGTTAGGTAGATGATTTGGAAAACTGTCTACATATACATCCAAAATCAATTCTCTGAAAATTGTTTTCAAAAACTAAGTTCCTGTAGAAGGCTGCTTTCCTGTTAACTGTAAACGTAGAATGCCACAAAACGTAAAAACTTCAAAAAAATATAGAAGGCCACAAATCAAGACATAACTGTACTTTACTGTTCTCCCTACTTGATCCAGTTGCTTTTTAGTTTCAATGTTCAGTCAGATACAGAGCTTTTGATTTCAAACAAATAGACTCCTTAAAAAACCAAGTTCTATTTAAAACACTGCAGGTAACTGTAAGAAACAAGCCAGCTCTTTGTGGTTAACGTGGTAGATTCTTCCCAATGCCAAAAGGCTTGTTAGTCCCKGAATCTAATTTAGGTCAATTTGACTAAGACCCACAGTGTCTTACATGAAAACATGACTGCATTTTCTTATAAGAAGGACCATTCCTTAAATCTTCATAACGCTGATGACAGTGTGGCTTTGGGCAAACCACTAACTGTCACGTCCATTTCCTCATTGTACAATGGAGATACTCACTGTGGTCACTGGGAATGAGCTGATTAACATTTTCTGTGCAGTTGATTTATTTTGGGAAGTACCCCCATGATTACAAATGCTGCATATATACTGAGCACTAAAACTTAAGGCTCAATGTATTTCAGATGCAAATACACAGCCTTTATAGAGTAATTATAGAGTTTAAAAAGCTTAACAACCATTCCTTTTCCAAAATCCTGTATTTATACTTAAAAAAAAGTCACAAAATAAAGAAAACCACAAAAGAATGGATACAATGAGATTTTCCTTCAAATTAAACAGATCAGAAAGCTGAACTTAAAGATTTCATCTTGCTCTCTTACTCAAGTGGATCTCCCCACTATGGGAGTATCCCAGRCCAGCCATGTTTCTCACTACTGTCCTCTCCCACTTGAGAGTTGAGAAATCAAAGAGTAGGCAACTGCTCCCTCAGGAGATACCAGCTTTTCAGCTTAATACATATCACAAAACCCCAGAGGGGAGAAAAGCCTGAACCGTTGAACTAGCCTCTGAGTTGGCTGTACCTTGTCCCTACTCCATCATGAAAGTAAGACCAGTGACTATTTCAAGAGTATTTATTGAGCTGCCCCTGTGTGTTAGGCTGTGTTTGCACAACTGATAACCCTTATGTAATCAGAAGGCAGAAAAAGTCATCACCAAGAAAATGAAGCAACATCAAGGAAATACAAGTTTGTCAGACTGTGAAAGTGTTCTTTTTTTTTTTTTTAAATGGTTTTAAGTTTAAAAGTAACAATAAAATTATGGAGAAAAGCAATAGTGTAATTAACCAAATTGAGACAGTCACCTCTTGGCAGGGGTGGGGGAGGGAAAGGAATGCACACAGAAGAGATCTCAAAGATATTCATACAGTCCTATATCCTAAGCTGGATGGATGGTAGAAAAATGGGTCTTCTTATTTTACTACTATATTCAAAAGTTTATTTCATTATTCCTCTTAAAACTATCTAAACATTTATATACATAAACACATGTATGATCACCTTCCATATCCACAAGTTTCATGCCTGCAGATTCAAATAACTGCAGATCGAAAGTATTTTTTCAATCACATCTGTCTGAATATGTACAAACATTTTTTGGCCATTATTTTCCAAACAATACAATATAATACCTAATTACAAAATATTTGCATCAAATGAGGTATTATAAGCAATCTAGAAATGATTTAAAATATATCAGAGGAGGTATATATATTAAATTACTATGTTACTGTCAAGTACTATGCCATTTTATATCCTTGGATTTTGATATCCCTATGGGGGTCCTGGGACCAATCCCCCATGCAYATGAGGAACAACCATATTTATAAGATGTATGTGTGTGTGTGTGTATGTGTGTGTGTGTGCAAGTGCTTTATAAACATATACTTTTAAGCAATTCGCCTTATCAGTAAAAAATATCATGTAGAGGTTAGTGACTAGTACAAGGTCATACAGCCAGTTAGGGGTGCTTCTGTTGTCATTAATGGAAATGACCCAGTAGAGGAGCATAGTACTCACAGGAATTAATGCTTCCTTAGCCTGGTTATCTGGTTTAGACATGAATGTGCTCCAGGCTGGCCATGGTGTCTACGCTCCCTCCTGGTCTATTATTACTGACCAAGCAGACTTAGGGCTGTTTTCTCTAGGACTAGCAAATTTATTCCTCTTCACTAAAATTCTGATACCCTATTTAAAAAGGGGTGGGGGTTGGGCTCTATATGTGTAATAAAAATTGTAATGCATTCCACTATCATATATAAATTTTTTWAAAAGRGTGGGGGAAAGTTCAAAAAAACTTTTTCTGCAATGACAACAGTAAATATTTGAGGCTTTGAGAACCCTACACTCTGTTGTGTCTTCTCCACCCCCCCCCCTGCTGTAACGTGAAAGCAGCCACACACCCTATTAGAGCATGGAGCATGAAAGACCATGCATACAAATGTGCGTGGCTGGGTTCTAACACAATTTGATTTACAAAAACATGTAGACAGATGGATATGGCCCGCAGGCTATAGTTAACCAACCCCTGTAATTCGTAATATAAAGACCACAGCCAGATTGTCAAATAGCATAAGCATTTAGAAAAATATTTTGTTAAATACACACACACACACACACACACACACACACACACACTGAAAGCTCCTACCACAATTATTAATTTATATGTGAAGTAACAGGAAGTGAAATGGAGACCACTTCTCTGCTAGACAGGTGCTCT